GGGTCTGTGGTGGTTTGAGGGGGTCTGTGGTGGTTTGGGGGGTCTGTGGTGGTTTGAGGGGGTCTGTGGTGGTTTGAGGGGGTCTGTGGTGGTTTGGGGGGTCTGTGGTGGTTTGGGGGGTCTGTGGTGGTTGTGACCTTCTCGTTGACGATGTGCATCTGGAAGACTCCTGCTTTGTAGTAGGAGAACATTCCACTGTCGAAGAAGAACTCGGACAGAGCGAGGTAAACCATCCTGTCGTACTCTCTGATGACGGGGTCCACGGCGTAGTTCACCAACGTGTCGTTCTGATTGGACAGGTCGAAAAACATCCCCTACAGACACAACACGGTCCATGTCAGAACACGTCATGTAGAATAAAATGATGTGATTAAATATGTGTCTGAGTCTGACCCTGAAGTGCATGTCGAGGCTCCTGGATGTCACCACTGGATCATTGATCAGAGAATAATCGATCCCAATATAACTATCAACCTCCGACCTTACGGGAATCGTCTCCAGCAGCGAGTTCACATGAACCAGAGCGGCGTGATTCAGAGCCGGACAGATCTAAGAGAGACAGGTCAGACACAGAGCTGGGTCAGAGACACAGCCAGTAACACAAGCAGGGCAGATCTTGGCCCATTATAATTAAAATAATAAATAGTTATTCATTAATAATTAAAATTCAAAAGCGAGCCATACCTACTGATAATTAACATTCAAAAGAGACCACTCACTTTTTTTTTTTTTGAAACACTGGAAAGAAGAAACTAAAATCCACACACACATGCAAATGATATACTTATTACACTTATTATATTATTATTTATGTATATATATATATATATATATATTGATGCTTTTGAGAGAGACGCTTCCAGACAGACAGAAACCCCTTGAAGTGACAGACCCTTTGGTTGAGGAGGAAGCGCATGCCTGATGTCAGAAAGCTGGCCAGGAAGTCGTAAACTCTCCTGAAAAAACAAACAAACATGTAATGACAGACGGATCAATAATGATTTAATGATTATTTATTACTACATAAGTACTATTGAATCTAATCAATAATGATTATCAATTACTACATCAGTTCTATCAACAGTAATCAGTAATCATGTTTGATAATCACATGAATCCCATTAAAAGTAATCAATAATCATGAGTGATAACTACATAATTTACCCGAGTGTTCCGCTGAACTCTGCTCTCATTTTGGTGATTTTGGCATCACAGGTGATGTTATTGATCTTCAGTCGTCCCTCGTCGTCTCTGATCAGATTCAGAGCCGTGTTGATGTTCACTCCTTCAGCTGACGCATTGATGTTTCCTGTGTCGTAACTGAGGCACAGAAACAACAAAAAGCCACTGTTATCATCATCATCATCATCATCATCATCATCATCATCATCATCATCATCTTCTTCTTTTTCTTCTTCAACATTCATATCAGACACATCATATTAGATGAATGTTATTCTGTAGGAGAACTATTTAAGTTGTAAAGATTAATTGATCCGATCTAATATGGATTGTTAGGAGCGATCAGAACATCAACACGCACTCTCTCCTTAATGTTACAATTCAGTATTTATTAATGGAGGAAAGAAAACAAGATACTCTTAAACTTGAAAACATAAAATAATATGTTTGTACTAGTTTTATCTTATTACTTCACAGTTGTGTGGTTGAAAATTGTTTGCCCCTCCGCTCTCGTTAACACCTGTTCACCTATCCCTGAATTAAAGGGCACACCACACCTACATATCACCTCAACTTATCAGGCCTCGGATCATAATATTTATCATGATAATAACAATATCAACAACAACAAACAAACAAACAAAGCTTTTCTTATTGGCATTATTCCAATCAGAATCAGAATCTAAACCATCAACTTGTCTTCTCTAAACTTTAGATGAAGGAACTGTTGAAGTTTGCTCAGAGAGATCTACAGGAGAGAAGCCGTCTGGATATAAATCAGGAGTTGCTCTGCACAGTGCATCCACGCCAGTGCCACTTCACTGCCAGAGTTAAGTTGACGTTCTGTAGGAGAACTCACAAGAACCAGTAAAGGATCCGTCGGTGGAAACTCAGGGAGATCGATGAGTTCTGAACATCAAACAACAAACCAATGTTGGGGATGAATTGCAGTTCGGCGTGAGTCAGATTCAGCTCTGTGATCTTCACACTGACGACAGACCAGGGAGAGAGACAGTATTAATACACATGTTGAATATTCGGTAGTAAAGTACTACTTCAAATATAAAGTAATACTCTTACTCAGTGATGGTGTATTGGAAGCGTCCGTCTTTGCCCCTCATCTCTGGCATACTGATGTTAGTGAGCTCCTCTTCCACAAACTTCTGAGTCTCATACTTCACTGAGAACAAAAACACACACTGTTAGTGGCAGTACTTCAAATTCTGTTGCTACTTTGACAATAAGACAGAAAAATACTGTTAACTGTTCACTACAAAAAAACGCAAAATGTCAGTACTGCAAACACATCAATGGCTACAAGTACAATACTGCAAACAAACACAGGACGCTGACTGTTATTAGTTAGTATTCAAAAACTAATACAGTACAGGTGGCTGTTCAGGGTTGTGGTCAGAGGGTTTATGTGCAATAAGATGATCGACTTAATTCATCTGTTTGTTTCCAACCTCTTTGTTTTGTGTTCATTATTAATGAATTTATTTATTTTTATTTCTTTTATTTATTCAGTCATGGTCCTGTGTATTCATTCAAAGCAGAGACAGAGATCCCTGTATTGAGAATTTATTTTAATTTACTTTAATTTGTTTGTCTATTCCCTCAGTCAAGGTGATGCCCCAATTTTTCAACCTGCAAATTTAAGATTTTGAGTGTATTTCATGTTGACAGGAGCCAGCTGAGGTGGTTCTGATCAGGATCCTCCAGAATCAATAAACATCCTTTGGAGGTTTACTGAAAACATTCAACTGGTTGGAGACCCCGGGGTAGACCCAGAACACACTGGAGAGATCATAGATCCCATCCAGGAGGAGCTGTAAAACATTACTGGAGAGAGGGACGTCTCGACTACCCTGCTCAGTCCACTGTCACTCAATCAATTATAGGATCCATATCGTTCAAATCCAGATTATGAATCAGGATTAAAGTTTAACAACTACATGTCCATTTACTCACACATATCCAGTCCTTTGTCAGTGATGCGGATTTTGCAGCCAGCATGTTCGGCAGCAGCCATGATGGAGGACAGCAAAGGGACGACGAAGAGGAGGGACAACAGACAGGGAGTCATCCTGAATTGGAGCATGTTGACCTCAAAACACAGAAGAAGAAACACCCATCCATTAGTTATACCACTTATTTTGAGAGTCACAGGGGTGCTGGAGCCAAACCAGGAGGAAACATACGCAGGTTTGGTTCAGGTCTTTGTTCTGTGTGTTCTGTATTTTCAGGGTTATGACCTATAAATATAAAATATAAATATATATTTATCTTAATATAAATATAACTTTAGTTCCTTCTTGTGAAACATTAACGGTCCGTATCAGTTGATTCACCTCTTGATTCAGCCAATCGTTATGTAGTGTTAATTAAGGCCTCAGCCAATCAGAGGACACCAATAACTCACCATCCAGGCTCTCAGCTGCCATTTGTTACAGTTCACCACATCAGAGACAGGGTTTCTCTTTTCTCTTCCTATAGCACTTTTAAACTGACTGCTGTCCTTCAGTGAGTCCCTCAGACTCCTAGTTTAACTAATTACTCAGTTAAGAAGTTTGAGAAATAATGTGAGCACACTTCTGCTGACCTTATGGAAACTTTCGAGCAGCTCCTTTTCCAAATTTACTAACGTTATGCTTCTGAAATTACACTTTTTGGCATTTAAAGAAGTGTAGCAACGCAGCCTTGAAAAAAATCTATAAAATCGGGTTTGGCAACTGATCACTGAAAGGCTCTGAAGAACCACTGACGAAGAACGTCCAAAGTTTAGAGCTACAGAACTTGGAAAAAATGGGATCCTTAATTATGACAGCTTTCTGTTTGGAAATTATTATGATAAATAATATAATAATAAACTCTTTTATTGAGTCTGTGATGGAACTCAGTAGGAATGCAAAAACGTCAGTTGCGTGTGGTTTTAAAACATAATCAAAACACCGGTTCTAAACAAATAAACAAAGACAGACAGACAGCATCCTCTGGTGTAAACAGGAAGCTGCAGCAGTGTCCTAGATCATGATGAACAGACTGATCTCATTGGAGTGTTTTTGTCCCTCCTGTGGCTCCGTAGCTCACAGCTGAACTTATTCTCGGACTGTGTCGTACATATAAACACTTTTCAACTTGAACCGCAGTAACCTCTGCCACCCCCCCACCCACCTCTTTCTTTCCCAACAGCCTCCAGACCCTGTTTTTCTGTCTTTAAAATAAACTGAACTGATGAATCTGGGAGGAAAAAACAGACAAATCTTCCACTCTGTTTCATATGTCTGTTCATTCACTTTGTTTACTTCATTCTGTAAAATTTATATATAAACTGTTTTCAAACTTAAGCTGAACTCTGACAGTTGTCTCATTAACTCAGATTGTCTCAGACACACAACTGACGACAACACCGTTTTTATCCTTCAGCCACAGTGGACCTGTTTCTACTTACAGATGTTATGCTTCAGATTACACTGTAATACAGTCAGTCAGTTGTCAGTGTTTCCACTTCTACTGACCAGCAGGGTCTGAGCACACACACACACTCACACAAAGACACACACACACACACACACATTAATCATCAGGTCTAAAGCCTTTGAAGAGAAGAAAGTCCTCACAAATACAGACATCCAGGACCACACACACGCCCCCTCAGTCTATAATCTGTGTGTTTAATAACAGCTCACTGAGGAGAGCCAATCAGCATCCAGCTGCTGCTGCACCCACATCTGGACATCTGGCTAACTGCTAACTGCTAACCTTTAATTAAAAAGATTCCCTTCAAAGAAAGAAGAAGATATCAAATCTACGCCCAGCCTGACCTCTGACCCCTGACAAATCAACCTTCTTCCACTGCTAACACACAGCAATCCGATCGGTCATGACGTATCTCAACATGACAATACTTAAAATAAAGTGACAGAAAGATGTGAACACACTTCATCTTCCTGAGGATATCATTATCTCTGATGTCCATCCAGAATAAACCTCCAAAAATCCACTTAGAAATCAGAGAAATAAGAGGCTGCAGAACCTCAGTTTTTCTTCAGTATCACAGTAATCCAGTGGTAGTTGTTACACTGCAAACAGAAGCTGATCACCGCTGATTCAGCAACTTTTAATGGGGACAATTTGACTGAATGGAAAAACATTGTAAACTACAAAAACAGGAAAAAAGGGAACACCAGAACCGACCCGTAGCTGACATTTTAATGTGATAAGCGTTTTTCGGGGTCATTTTCTCGTGAGGGCTTTGAATTTTTCTGTCGTCATATTGGCTCCCAAACAGGCCTGGATGTTGGTGTTAGCGGGTAGATCAGCAGAAACAGTTTAACTTCCTCCATTTTCACACAAAATGGGTTAGGGTTACCATCAGATACACTTTGATATGCATTAATATACTACTCACCTGTCCATGATGAGTCACTCTCTTTACCTGTCTGTCTGTATCTCTGTCTGTCTGTCTATCCCTCTCTCTGTACGTCTGTCTCTGTCTTGTTTCAGTAACAGTTGAACTCTACTCTGAATGTCTGAAAGATAAAAATGATGAAACTCACAGATCAGCAGACTGAAGAAGGAGGAGCTCAGACCTGATGGTTCTAGATTCAGGTTCTGGATCTCTTGTTCTGTAGCTGATGTAGTCTGTTCTTGTGTCCCTGTTCACACTGACTCACTCTCTGGAGATTTTTATCCTGAGGGACTGACTCCTCCCCCTCACCCCCCTCCTCCTCCTCCTCATGGCCCTTCCTCCTCCCTCTCAGTGTGTTTTCTCGTTCTATCATTGTGAGCAGTGGTTCAGGTTTGATTTCACAAGTGAGGGGGACACAGTGAAATGTCCATATATATGAGAGTGTGTGTGTGTGTGTGTGTGTGTATCTGATTTATTGTAATTTACGATTACTCTTAAATCAATCAAGCAAATAAAAAATGATGAATCTGAAAACTTGCGTAATAATGTTGGCCTACAAAACTTAGAATAAAATAAAGTGCTGTGATTTTAAAGCCACTAACTTTATGTTTAGTTATATTGACTGATTGTGTTTTCATGCCAAGGTTCAAGGTTTCTTTTCGTCACCTACCCCTGGAAAATAACTGTCTTGAATTAAGGGAACTGGTGCATAAAACCAAACCTGTGTCTATTTACTCTGAAAACATGCAGAGGAGGTGAAGGACTTATTCAGCCCTGAGCAGTGTCTGCAGGTCTTCCCTTCAGCGTCCATATGAACCATACAACCCCAACAACCAATGACATAAGGCAGGCTGTATGTAGCCTGTGAGGCGAAACCCAGGGTATACCAGTCAACTGATGGTAACCACAGATGAATCGGACCTCCTCTGCACAGTCAACAGAAAATCTACCTGAAAGAATGAAAGTGAGGAGGACATATCCCCCCATGTCTGGACATTTCATTCTGTGTCTGAGGGCTCAGGCCTGTTTTTTTATTAAATCTATAGTTCTTTAGTCTTCATTCATCTAAATATTTTTTCTTTATCTTCAAGACGTTTTCTGTTTAATGGTTTCTGTCTTCTTTAAGTTTGTCTTTGTGCTTCCTGTTTGATGACCTCACCGTGACACTGTGAGGTCACTGTGACAGAGACTCGACTCTTCTAGGAAGTTCCAGTGGTTAAAGATCAGTATGTGTGTGTGTGTGTGTGTGTGTGTGTGTGTGTGTGTGTGTGTGTGTGTGTGTGTGTGTGTGTGTGTTATTTGTGGTAAGAATAAATCATATGTTTTAGTTCAAAAGAGACAACCTGAAACAATCATCACACACAGATAGATTTGTCTTTCTTTTAACCCTAACATAATCCTCATTCTAACATAAACCTTAAAACCAAGTCTGAACCTTCAAACATTAATTTGAAGTAGTGATCATGGTAGTTCAAGTGTCCTCACTATGAAGGTTGAAAGTTGAACTTGGTCCTCACAAAGATAGTAGTACAGGTCTACACACACACAGAAACACAAATGTTTTATAAGCTGCAATTTTATTTTTGTTGAAAGAAAGAAAGAAAGAAAGAAAGAAAGAAAGAAAGAAAGAAAAAAAGAAAGAAAGAAAGAAAGAAAGAATTGTTCGGCTGATCCAGTTTTTACTGTGTATTTGTTAATTATCAATAAAGTTTATTTAAAAAAAAAAAAAAAAGATACGTAAACCGGAAACTGTACATACCTACTTCCTGTTTCCGTCAACACACGTGTGAGGGAAAAACTGTAAAGAAGCTCCACAGGACTTGTGTAGAACCGGTTCCGACACAGTACCGGTCTACATTCTGTTCACAGCCCAGTGTTCCGGTACCGCAGCGTCGTCCGCCATGTTGGAAGAACTGGGTCTGATCGGGACGATCCGGGACGAGGACCAGAGTCCGGAGGAACCGGACAGCGAGTCCGACCAGGAGGTGAGTTAGTCCGGGCACACAGTTGGATCTCTCCCCGGTAAACCGTCGAGGCCGCTGGAGGGGAACCGGATTTCTGCTGGAAAACAACGGATTTACCGCCGATAAATAAACAAAACAAAATGTGCCTTTTTCTTTTAATTTAAACCCAAAATCTATGAAGTTGACATTGCAGTTCTAGAAGAAACTTCAACAGTTCAGACCACTGGAGTTTAAACATCATAAACATTAGCCAATGAAATAAGATTAAAAATACAAAGTTCAATATATCCTTATGTATTTTTATTTGATTAACTCTGGAGCTGTGTATTAATTGTATTATTGTGTACTGACTGTGTGTATGTTGTGTATTAACTGTTGTGTACGGTTGTGTTGTTGTCCATTAACTGTGTGTATTTTTGTGTGTGTGTGTTTCAGGAGGAGCGGATCATCCTGAACAGGAAGAAGAAGCTCAAGAATTTCGGGTCGAAAGATTTTAACACAGACTTTCAGTTTGGAGAGAGGGACAGCCTGAACCATGATGACGACTGGGTTATGGCCGATGTCATGAAACAGCTCAAGAAGAAGGTAAAACCTGCTGCAGTATGATCGACTGTCAGTGTGGGACAGTTCACGTCCACTCTCTAATGTTCTTCCATTCTCTAACGTTCGCCGGCAGTGTTTTGGTTCTTTAATATTCTCCATTGGTTGTATATTAACAGTGTTCTGCATTTGCAGAGATCTGTGACGACTCTGGACCAGAAAATAGAGAAAATAAGGAAGAAAAGGAAAGCTGAGGTGAGTGCTTTGGCCAGGTGAAGAGCCCCTGCCCAGCATCTAATTGCCTTACCCTGATATTCTTACCCCAACCAATCATGGCTCTTCATGCCTAAACCAAACCTAACTGAGTACTAGCCAATCAGAGGCAGGGTAGGTCTTCATCTGTCTTGGTTGGGGGAAAAAAATAAAGCAGTTCCCGCTGTCTGGCCAGGTTCTACTTCCTGTGCCCAAGGTGAAGTTTGTTTTGATCTGCAGGAGAAATCAGCTCAGAGCGGCGCTGCTGAAGATACTACAGGGAAGAACGAGGAGGAGGAGGAAGAAGATGATGAAGAGCAGGATGTAAAGCCTGCTGCAGGAGAAGCTGATGAAGGTGATGACGATGATGAGGAGGAGGACGACGACGAGGACGATGAAGATGAGTTTGACTCGAGTGACGAGGAGATTCTTACCAAATCAGGTGAGTTCAGGAGAGGCTTTTATTTTTAAGTTTGACAGGAAGCTGAAAGATTTTACTTATTGTAACAGTTTTAATAACCTGATGATCAATAACTAAAAAATTTAAAGGTCACTAAAATATAATTCAGTTCAGTAAAACAAACTGCAGTTCTGAACAGAAAAATCCCAATAAAAATTAAACTTAAAAATTAAACTTTTCTAATGAATTTAAACATTGAAAAAGCGTTTTATTTGTGTTGTTGACTTCCTGTTTCCCGCAGACACCCTGAGAGAGAAAGAACGACGTGGAAAGAAAAGGAAGGCGGGAGAAGAGGTTAGGATGAGGAGCTGATGATGTCACAGGTGTACAGGTGATGTGTGCATGGTTACCACAGTAACGGATGTGTTTGTCCTGTTCAGGCTCCAGAGGCATTCTATGAAGATGCGTCTCAGTACGATGATCAGCTGACCTTTGATGACATGAACCTGTCCAGACCCATTCTGAAGGTAAAACCTCCGAGTGTCTGATATCACCTATCAGGTATAAATACCTGATACATATCCGATGCTTCAGGACTCACCTGGACAAAGTTCTCCTGGTTTTGTTGTTGATGATATTTGTGACCTCATGTTGTGTCCCTGCAGGCCATCACAGCTGTGGGCTTCAAGCAGCCAACACCCATCCAGAAGGCCTGTGTTCCTGTTGGCCTGCTGGGCAGAGACCTCTGCGCCTGCGCTGCTACTGGGACAGGTAATCCTGATATCCTGGAACCAGTTCATCATATTGGGACCAGATGAATAACTATAAAAAAATTCCTCTCCTCTCCTCAGGGAAGACAGCAGCCTTCATGCTGCCGGTGTTGGAGCGTTTAGTTTATAAGCCCAGGACTTCCCAGGTGACCCGGGTCTTGGTTCTAGTTCCAACCAGAGAGTTGGGGATCCAGGTTCACTCTGTGGCCCGTCAACTCGCCCAGTTCACCTCCATCACCACCTGCCTGGCTGTCGGTACGTCTGATTACTGGTTACTGACTTACTCTGACTCGTGACCCTGGACTCAGTTTGACTTCGAATTCTAGACTCATTCTGGTCCTGAATAACCTAACCTGTCTCGGCCTGTCTCCAGGTGGGTTGGACCTGAAGTCTCAGGAGGTGGCTTTGAGGGCGGGGCCAGACGTCCTGATCGCTACACCTGGTCGTCTGATTGATCACCTTCACAACACACCGAGCTTCGAGCTCACTCAGATTGAGATCCTGATCCTGGACGAGGCCGACAGGTAAACACTAGGTGCGTTTCCATTAACGTGCTTAATGTGCAAACTTAAAAACGAGTAATGGAAACGTGACTTTTGAAAAAAACTCAAATCTTGCGAAAAAATTTTAATAAAATAAAGAAATCTATCGTCATATTTAATTGGAACGATTTTGCATTACATGACTGAATGGAAACGCAGACCACTCGAACGAAAAGCTCACCTGTTGGAACTCACCTGTGTGGTTCTGTGCCTTTGTCTCTCAGGATGTTGGACGAGTATTTTGAGGAGCAGATGAAGGAGATCATCAGGTTGTGTTCCTACAACAGACAGACCATGTTGTTCTCCGCCACCATGACAAACGAGGTACTCGTTCATACCTGTGTCATGTGATCTGTGTCTCCAGGTGCGTTAGTGTGTGTCATGTGACCTGTGCCTCCAGGTGTGTTAGTGTGTGTCATGTGACCTCTGTCTCCAGGTGAAGGACCTGGCAGCCGTTTCGTTGAAGCAGCCAATCAGGATCTTTGTTAACAGCAACACTGACGTGGCTCCGTTCCTGCGACAAGAGTTTGTCAGAATCCGACCGAACAGAGAGGGAGACAGGGAGGCTGTGGTGGCTGGTAGGTCCTGATAGTACTCCAGTACTACTGCTAATACTATAGTACAGTAGTGGTACTACTACAAACACTGCAGTACTGTTACTGACTGTTGTGTTTTGTCTTAGCTCTGCTGACTCGAACGTTCCAGGATCACGTGATGTGTTTCACTCAGACGAGGAAACAGGCTCACCGACTGCACATCCTGCTGGGCCTGATGGGACTGAAGGTCGGAGAACTGCACGGAGAACTGAGCCAGAGCCAGAGACTGGAGAACCTCAGGTATATACACACACACACACACACACACACACACACAGAGTCACAGTCTGGAGAACCTCCAGAACCTTATATGTATGTATTTTCCCTTTTTTTTTTTCTCATTCTCCGTGTTCTCCAGGCGTTTTAAAGATGAACAGATTGATATCTTGGTGGCGACAGATGTAGCAGCCAGAGGTCTGGACATCGATGGAGTCAAAACGGTGAGAGTCACATCTCTTAATGGTTACTGCAGGACTACCATAAAGTTACCACTGAGTTTACTGTAGAGTTACTATACAGTCACTACAGGGTTCCCACAGAATCACTTAAGTGTTACTGTAAGGTTTCCCTAACGTTACTATAAGGTTGCCATGGAGTTACTACTGAGGTACAGCATTAAAGGGTTTCCTTGTAGTTGCTGTGGAGTCCTACATGGTTCTAAGTGTAGTTACCATAGTAACAAATTTGTGTAAATATATTGACATAAGCTCTTCTTTATTAAAACTAAGTTGGATTTTAATTTCGACAAACTCATCATGTTTTCTGGCTGATCATCTAAAGACCTCTCTCTCTCTCTCTCTCTCTCTCTCTCTCTCAGGTCATAAACTTCACCATGCCGTCCACAGTCAAACACTACGTCCACCGAGTCGGCCGCACAGCGAGAGCCGGTCGTTCCGGACGTTCAGTGTCTCTGGTCGGAGAGTCTGAGAGGAAGACGCTGAAGGAGGTGGTGAAGTCTGCCAAGAACAGTGTGAAGGCTCGAGTCCTGCCGCCAGGTACACACACCTGAGAAACAGTTTGTCAGAGAGTTTTCTGTGTGCCTGGGAAATAGACAGAGCTGTGTAGTTCAGGGAACGTGGGAGAGTTGAGTTCTGAGCAGCAGTAAGGTAACAAGGGTGAACTGATGATGAACTGGTATTTCTGAACAGAAACAGTAAAAAGTTTCTCATGTGTGCTGTGACTAAACTCTCTCCCTCTCCCTCTCCCTNCACCTCCCCCTCTCCCTCTCCCTCTCCCTCTCCCTCTCTCTCCCTCCCACCCACCCACCCAGATGTCATCCTGAAGTTCAGAGATCTGATTTCCAAACTGGAGAAGGATGTTTACGCTGTGGTGAAGCTGGAGAGAGAGGAAAGAGAGCTGGCTGCGTCTGAGGCCAAGGTACACCTACACACCTGAACACCAGTACACCTGAGCACCTTCACATCATTATTCAAGCTCAAAGCAAAGTCAGAGTTTTGGACGGAGGAAAGATGATCAACTAATCACTTTTTCTGAGGAACAGCCGTGTCTTTATGACACAAGCCTTAAAATGTACTAGAGCTAAAGATCCGTGGAGACATAAAAACTCTAGGAGAGAAGTCAACTACGACTCCCAGGGTGCATTTGTAACAGAACTTCATGCTGTTTCCAGCTGTTTACATCAGCTGTTTACATCAGATCCTGACCTCTTCTCCATAGCAACAGCTGAGGATCATTGGTATTGTAGTATTTACAGATGAGTTAGTGAGCTAAATAATTAAAATGCATGCAGTCTTACAGTAATTGTAGTACTCTCAGCAGTAGCAGCATATACAGTAGTAATATTTTAGTATTTGCAGTAGTACCTTTCATAAACAAGTGAGAATCTATAAATTTACCTGTGTGTGTGTGTGTGTGTGTGTGTGTGTGTGTGTATAGTTGAGCGTGGCTCAGAAGCGTCTCGATAGCTCCGCTGCTTCAAGTGAAACACAGAGAGTTTGGTTTCAAACTCAACAAGAGAGGAAACAGAGTCGTAGTGAGTATTAATACACAGGGTACTGCACCTCATTTACTACAGTTACTCCTAAACTGCACTGCACTACTTCATTCAGCAGTACTTAGCAGTATTCTATAGCTGTCTGCAGTACTTTGCAGTCCACAGTAGTATTTTAACTGCTGTTCCTTCTCCTCTTCATCAGTGTCAAAGGCTCTGCAGGAGTTCGATCTCGCTCTCAGAGGCAAGAAGAAGAGAGAAAAGTTCTTGAAGGATGGCAAGAAGAAGAAGGAGCTGACGGTAATAACACATCTGATGTGTGACGTTGTTCCCTGAAGGTTGTTTTATAAATTTGGAATATTTTGTATGAGGTTTGGTGGAGGTAGCAGTTATTTCAAAGCTGTGGGTTACATCAACACCTCCACCAAGTGACAGGAGTCTGATAAGTTCATGTTTCTATGTCTTTTTATAGCAGGTGTCCATAGCAACGTATAAAGTGTTTTTTCCTCTGTAATTATTTCTCCTGACTCAGACACATCACAAAGATTCAGTCTTTTTAGTACAAAGCAGCTGCCGCTCTGCAGGAAAACAGAGGACTGTGTTTCTTTCTTTAATGTGTCTTTATATCTCTCATTATCTCTGTCAGTCTGAGGAGCGCTCTCAGTTTGAGATCTTGAAGGCTCAGATGTTTGCTGAACGGGCGGCCAAGAGAGAGAGACGACCAAAGAGAGCGAGAGCAATGCCCGAGGAAGAGACGCAGACTAAAGGTCAGAAACACTAATGTACATACACGTACTGAGACATATTGATAAATACATAAACATATTGAGACATGCTGATGGATATATAAACGTACAGTATACTGAAACGACGTCTGATAAATGCTAAAATGCATTGAATGTTTAAATTTTAATTGATCAAATTACCATAGTATGACTTTTTATGACTTACTATACTGTGACGTTTTTTGCATTACTATACTATGACTTTTTATTACTTACTATACTATGACTTTTTGACTTACTGTACTACGACTTTGTATGCCTTACCATGCTATGACTTTTTGTGACTTACTATTCTATGACTTTTTATTACTTGCTATACTAAGACTTTTTATGCCTTACCATTCAGACTTTTTTGCCTTACCATACTGACTTTTTTGCCTTACCATACTTTGACTTTTTATGCCTTACTATACTATGACTTTTTAGCCTTATGATACTATTGACGACATTTTGTCTTACCATATTATGGCTTTTTATGCCTTACCATAGTATGACTTTTTTACCTTACTATACTTTTTATTACTTACTATACTATAACTTTTTATGACTTATCATTCTGACTTATTTTGCCTTACTGTATATGCCTTAGTATATGACTTTTTATGACTTAATATACTATGTGTTTTTCATGGGTCAGCACAGTTGTGCAGTGGTTAGAACTGTCCTCCCACAGTGAGAAGATTATGAGTTAGAACCCCGGGCCAGGGGCCTTTCTCGTGGAGTTTGTATGTTCTCCCTCTGCCTTCATGGGTCCTCTCCGGTTACCCAAGCTTTCTCCTGTAATCCAAAGACTGTACACTTTATTGATAAAACATGCACACTATACTGTAAACGGTTGCGCTAAACTAAACTGTTTGTCTGTCTGTGTAGCAGCCAATCAGAAAACAAGAAAAGGAGGCAAGAAATCAGTGTTTGACAAAGAGCTGACCAACACCAGCAGCAAGGCCCTGAAACACTATAGAGCAGGGTGAGACTGTCTCTTAGCACACCTTTCTGTCTGTCTGTACACCTGTCACACCTCTCAGTACACACCTACCTGTCTGTGCACCTGTCTCACCTAATTGTCTTATTACAGGCCATCCTTTGCTGACAGGAAGCGGCTCGGTTTGGATAGAAAGCGTCCTGGTGGCTCCAAGTAAGTTTCTCTGTCTCTGTCCACCACAAAGATAAGATGGAATGGATATGATGGCTGACGCTCTGTTCTCTCTGTCAGGTTCAAGAAGAAGAAGTGACAGCCCAAATGGCCACCTGAAGCAACAGTTCTCTGACATTTTCATGTTGTCTCTTTGTTCACTGTGTAAATGTTTTCCAATTTTGTTCATTGAAAAACTTTTAAATAAAGTTGGTCTGTTTAAAAATAACACATTTGTTGTATCCAGAGTTTTGTTTTTCACCGACATTCCCCAACAACCTTTCAAACCACGGCAAAGTTCTTATGACTTACTATACAATAACTTTTTATTCCTTACTATACTATGACTTTTTGCGCCTTAGTATACTATGACTTTTTATGCCTTGTTATACTATGACTTTTTTTTAACATTTTTATGCCTTACTATATTATGACTTTTTATGCCTTACTATACTATTACTTTTTATGCCTTGTTATACTATGACTTTTTTATAACATTTTTATGCCTTACTATACTATGACTTTTTATGCCTTGTTATACTATGACTTTTTTTTAACATATTTATGCCTTACTATACTATGACTTTTTACGCCCTACTCTTCTATGACTTTTTATGCCTTGTTATACTAAGACTTTTTTACAACATTTTTACGCCTTATTATACTATGACTTTTTGCCCCTTACTATACTATGACTTTTTATGCCTTGTTATACTATGACTTTTTTATAACATTTTCACGCCTTATTATACTATGACTTTTTACCCCTTACTATACTATGACTTTTTATGCCTTGTTATACTAAGACTTTTTTTATAACATTTTTATGCCTTATTATACTATGACTTTTTACTCCTTACTATACTATGACTTTTTATGCCTTGTTATACTATGACTTTTTTATAAAATTTTTACACCTTACTATACTATGACTTTTTATGCCTTGTTATACTATGACTTTTTTGTAACATTTTTATGCCTTATTATATTATGACTTTTTACGCCTTACTATACTATGACTTTTTATGCATTGTTATACTATGACTTTTTTATAAAATTTTTACACCTTACTATACTATGACTTTTTATGCCTTGTTATACTATGACTTTTTTGTAACATTTTTATGCCTTATTATATTATGACTTTTTACACCTTACTATACAATGACTTTTTATGCCTTGTTATACTATGACTTTTTTATAACATTTTTATGCCTTATTATACTATGACTTTTTATGCCTTACTATACTATGACTTTATACCTTAGTATACTATGACTTTTTACGCCCTACTATACTATGACTTTTTGCACCATACTATACTATGACTTTTTATGCCTTGTTATACTATGACTTTTTTTAACATATTTATGCCTTACTATACTATGACTTTTTACGCCCTACTATACTATGACTTTATACCTTAGTATACTATGACTTTTTATGCCCTACTATACTATGACTTTTTGCGCCTTACTATACTATGACTTTTTATGCCTTACTATACTATGACTTTTTATGCCTTGTTATACTATGACTTTTTTTTAACATTTTTATGCCTTACTATACTATGACTTTTTACGCCTTACTATACTATGACTTTTTATGCCTTGTTATACTATGACTTTTTTTTAACATTTTTGTGCCTTACTATACTATGACTTTTTATGCCTTACTATACTATGACTTTTTATGCCTTGTTATACTATGACTTTTTTATAACATATTTATGCCTTAACTATGACTTTTTACACCTTACTATACTATGACTTTTTATGTCTTGTTATACTCTGACTTTTTTATAACATTTTTATGCCTTATTATACTATGACTTTTTATGCCTTGTTATACTATGACTTTTTTATAACATTTTTATGCCTTATCATACTATGACTTTTTATGCCTTACTATACTATGACTTTTTATGCATTGTTATACTATGACTTTTTTTTAACATTTTTATGCCTTACTATATTATGACTTTTTACGCCTTACTATACTATGACTTTTTATGCCTTGTTATACTATGACTTTTTTTTAACATTTTTATGCCTTACTATATTATGACTTTTTATGCCTTACTATACTATTACTTTTTATGCCTTGTTATACTATGACTTTTTTATAACATTTTTATGCCTTATTATACTATGACTTTTTATGCCTTACTATACTATGACTTTATACTTTAGTATACTATGACTTTTTACGCCCTACTATACTATGACTTTTTGCACCATACTATACTATGACTTTTTATGCCTTGTTATACTATGACTTTTTTTAACATATTTATGCCTTACTGTACTATGACTTTTTACGCCCTACTGTACTATGACTTTATACCTTAGTATACTATGACTTTTTATGCCCTACTATACTATGATTTTTTGAGCCTTACTATACTATGACTTTTTATGCCTTGTTATACTATGACTTTTTTTTAACATTTTTGTGCCTTACTATACTATGACTTTTTATGCCTTACTATACTATGACTTTTTATGCCTTGTTATACTATGACTTTTTTATAACATATTTATGCCTTAACTATGACTTTTTACACCTTACTATACTATGACTTTTTATGTCTTGTTATACTATGACTTTTTATAACATTTTTATGCCTTATTATACTATGACTTTTTATGCCTTGTTATACTATGACTTTTTTATAACATTTTTACGCCTTATTATAATATGACTTTTTACCCCTTACTGTACTATGACTTTTTATGCCTTGTTATACTATGACTTTTTTAACATTTTTATGCCTTACTATATTATGACTTTTTACACCTTACTATACTATGATTTTTATGCCTTGTTATACTATGACTTTTTTATAACATTTTCACGCCTTATTATACTATGACTTTTTACCCCTTACTATACTATGACTTTTTATGTCTTGTTATACTCTGACTTTTTTATAACATTTTTATGCCTTATCATACTATAACTTTTTATGCCTTGTTATACTATGACTTTTTTATAACATTTTTATGTGTTATTATACTATGACTTTTTCCCCTTTACTATTCTATGACTTTTTATGCCTTGTTATTATGCCTTACTATACTATGACTTTTTATATCTTGTTATACTCTGACTTTTTTATAACATTTTTATGTGTTATTATACTATGACTTTTTCCCCTTTACTATTCTATGACTTTTTATGCCTTGTTATTATGCCTTACTATACTATGACTTTTTATATCTTGTTATACTCTGACTTTTTTATAACATTTTTATGTGTTATTATACTATGACTTTTTCCCCTTTACTATTCTATGACTTTTTATGCCTTGTTATTATGCCTTACTATACTATGACTTTTTATATCTTGTTATACTCTGACTTTTTTATAACATTTTTATGTGTTATTATACTATGACTTTTTCCCCTTTACTATTCTATGACTTTTTATGCCTTGTTATTATGCCTTACTATACTATGACTTTTTATATCTTGTTATACTCTGACTTTTTTATAACATTTTTATGTGTTATTATACTATGACTTTTTCCCCTTTACTATTCTATGACTTTTTATGCCTTGTTATTATGCCTTACTATACTATGACTTTTTATATCTTGTTATACTCTGACTTTTTTATAACATTTTTATGTGTTATTATACTATGACTTTTTCCCCTTTACTATTCTATGACTTTTTATGCCTTGTTATTATGCCTTACTATACTATGACTTTTTATATCTTGTTATACTCTGACTTTTTTATAACATTTTTATGTGTTATTATACTATGACTTTTTCCCCTTTACTATTCTATGACTTTTTATGCCTTGTTATTATGCCTTACTATACTATGACTTTTTATATCTTGTTATACTCTGACTTTTTTATAACATTTTTATGTGTTATTATACTATGACTTTTTCCCCTTTACTATTCTATGACTTTTTATGCCTTGTTATTATGCCTTACTATACTATGACTTTTTATATCTTGTTATACTCTGACTTTTTTATAACATTTTTATGTGTTATTATACTATGACTTTTTCCCCTTTACTATTCTATGACTTTTTATGCCTTGTTATTATGCCTTACTATACTATGACTTTTTATATCTTGTTATACTCTGACTTTTTTATAACATTTTTATGTGTTATTATACTATGACTTTTTCCCCTTTACTATTCTATGACTTTTTATGCCTTGTTATTATGCCTTACTATACTATGACTTTTTATATCTTGTTATACTCTGACTTTTTTATAACATTTTTATGTGTTATTATACTATGACTTTTTCCCCTTTACTATTCTATGACTTTTTATGCCTTGTTATTATGCCTTACTATACTATGACTTTTTATATCTTGTTATACTCTGACTTTTTTATAACATTTTTATGTGTTATTATACTATGACTTTTTCCCCTTTACTATTCTATGACTTTTTATGCCTTGTTATTATGCCTTACTATACTATGACTTTTTATATCTTGTTATACTCTGACTTTTTTATAACATTTTTATGTGTTATTATACTATGACTTTTTCCCCTTTACTATTCTATGACTTTTTATGCCTTGTTATTATGCCTTACTATACTATGACTTTTTATATCTTGTTATACTCTGACTTTTTTATAACATTTTTATGTGTTATTATACTATGACTTTTTCCCCTTTACTATTCTATGACTTTTTATGCCTTGTTATTATGCCTTACTATACTATGACTTTTTATATCTTGTTATACTCTGACTTTTTTATAACATTTTTATGTGTTATTATACTATGACTTTTTCCCCTTTACTATTCTATGACTTTTTATGCCTTGTTATTATGCCTTACTATACTATGACTTTTTATATCTTGTTATACTCTGACTTTTTTATAACATTTTTATGTGTTATTATACTATGACTTTTTCCCCTTTACTATTCTATGACTTTTTATGCCTTGTTATTATGCCTTACTATACTATGACTTTTTATATCTTGTTATACTCTGACTTTTTTATAACATTTTTATGTGTTATTATACTATGACTTTTTCCCCTTTACTATTCTATGACTTTTTATGCCTTGTTATTATGCCTTACTATACTATGACTTTTTATATCTTGTTATACTCTGACTTTTTTATAACATTTTTATGTGTTATTATACTATGACTTTTTCCCCTTTACTATTCTATGACTTTTTATGCCTTGTTATTATGCCTTACTAT